GACAAAACCCATCTGTTCCAATAATAATAGCATGAATCTCCAATTCACATTATCAAATGCCTTTTGTGCATCTAAAAATATCAAAGCCATTTGCTTTTCGGGGTGTGCCTCATAATATTCCAAAGTGTCCAAAATTACTCTCATATTATCTTTGATTTGTCTCTTTGGCAGAAATCCATTTTGATCAGGATGAATAAAGTTATTTAAGTATTTTTTAAGTCTGCCAATATTGAAGCGAAAATTTTATAATCTGCATTTAGTAAAGAAATAGGTCTATAATTCTTAATTTGCAATGGATCAGCCTCTTCTTTTGGAATAAGTGTAATATAGGCTTCTGACCATGTTTTAGGTATCATCTTCTTTGACATAACTTCATTCATGACTTCTAGCAATGGAAGGCTCAACGATTCTTGTAATGTTTTATAAAATTCTGCCGGAAGTCCATCTGGGCCTGGTGCCCTTTCCATTATTTTGCTTCTTAAGTGCTTCAGTTAATTCCATCATTGTTATATTGCTTTCTAACATTTTTTCAGTCTCTTTAGGTATCTTAGGTAGATTAGCATTCTGTAAATACTGTTTGACTCTTTCCTCATCAATATTCTCTTGCTTATATAGTTGCCCATAGAAGTCTCGAATAATTTCCTTTTTCTCTTTATTGCCGTAGCAAACTTGACCTTGATCATCTATTAACTGCAATATTTTCCTTGATTCTTTCTCCTTTCTCAGTTTGTATGCTAACCATCTACCTGGTTTGTTTGCATCTTCAAAATAGTTCTGTTTAGCACTTCTAATTTTCTGTGCTAATTCTTCTTTCTCTATTTGACCCATTTTGTGTTTAATTATGTCCAATTTTAGTTTAATGTCTTTTTTCTGTGGCGTTTTCTGTAGCTCTTTTTCAAGTCTTTTATGCTCGTCTTCTAAAGCTTTAGTGGCTTGCCTTTTCCTGTTGTTCCTTTTCCTTGTATAGTCTATTATCAAGCCTCTAGCATATGCCTTCATTGTGTCTCATACATTCTGAATTGAAGTATCTTCTTTTTTATTTTCTCTAAAGAAAAAGGCCAATTCTTTCTCCATCCGCTGTATGAAATCATTTTCCTTGAAAATAGTATTATTTAACGTCCATCTCGATCTTTTTTGTCCTTTCCATTTAATTGTCACTGGAATGTGGTCTGCCCAAGTACTTGTTTCAATATTTGTTTCTTGAATATTAGATATTAGTTCTGTTGAAATCCAAATCATATCTATTCTGGACCATGATAAATGTCTATTTGAGTAAAAAGTGTATTGTTTGGTTTTAGCATTTCTTTCTCTCCATATATCTTTTAAGTTTATTTCATCTGTCATTTTAAAAAAGGATTTAGGGAGAGTCTTTCTATTTTGCTTTGTTGTTGTTGCTGTATAATCAAATTTGTTGTCTACAATTCCATTGAAGTCTCCCATCATAACTATATTAACATAGTCCAGTTCAATTATTTTCCTATGTAATTTTTTATAGAATTCTTCTTGTTTATCATTCGGAGCATAAATTGCAATCAGGAGTGTTTTCATATTATTGTCCATTATTTCCACCATTAATACTCTTCCATCTTCATCAGTATGAATCAATTTTGCTGAGATGGTCTCTTTAATATATAAAACCACTCCTCTTTTCTTATATTGAGTCAAAGAAGTAAATATTTTCCCTAATTTTGGCTGGACCAACAATTGTTCATATTGTTTTTTAATGTGTACTTCTTGTAGACAAATTATATCAAATTTTAATTTCTCTAATTTATGAAAAATTTTCCTTCTTTTAGCAGCTGAATTAAGTCCATTTATATTCATTGTAATCAGTTTTTTCTCTTCCATGATTATGCTTTATAGTTAGGTTTGGTAGCTCTTGTAGATCTTGGTTCACGTTGTTCTTTAGTTTCCACCTGTCCACCTACTGCGCCTTCTTTTTCAGTCTCCATTTGCTCCTCTTGGAATTCAATTAATGAGACCTCTTTCTGCCTCTTCCTCTCTCCTTCCAAAAAATTCTGCGTAGAATAATTCTGCTTTCTCAATTGAATCAATTCTGTGTCTCTGTTCTTGCCATGTAAACATTAATCCTTCTGGAATTAGCCATCTATAATTCACCTCTTTTTTCAGTAACATTTTAGTTAAGAATCGGTATTCTCTTCTTATCTCTCTCACTTTTCTGGGTATTTGTTTTAAGACCACAATCTCCTTGCCCTTGTATTTCAGAGTTTTCTCTCTTGCCACTTGCAATATTTGTGTTTTAATGGCTTTTTTTGTAAATCTGATATGAACTTCTCTTGGTAGGTTATTTCTCATCGCATATCTTGTAAAAACTCGATATACTTCATCTACTCCATCCATCATCTTCTCTTCTGTTATTTCCAAAGCTTCAGCCAATATTTCTATCATTATCTCAGCTAGATTTTGTCCTTTTTCTTCCTCTATGTTTTGAAATCTGAGATAAAATTCTGATCTGTCCATCTCCCATTTCAGCATCCCACTTTTATCTTGTTCAACCACTGTTAATCTGGTATCAATGTCTCCAATCTTTTTGTCTCTTTGTTTATCTTCTTCTTCAATTTTTTTGGAATCTCTTATCATACTTCACCATCATTTGTTGAATATTCTCCACTTTTTCATCAGTTTTCTCTATTCTCTTTTCAATAGTGTCTGATTTTGTTTTAAGTTCTTGGATTCCTTGCATAATCATCTGTAAGGTCACTTTTTCTTGTTCTTTGTCTTGCTTTAACATTGTCTGGATTGAACGTTGTCCTCCAGGTGGGGAGGCGGAAGTAGAAGTTGAAGAGCCAGAAGCTATAAATTTCCTGCTCATTTTAAACAATTGAAGATCTTCAGGTTCTTCTGAACCTTAATCCAATTATGAAGTAGCCAATTATAATCCAAGATGAAAAATAAAAATGGTAGAAGGAAAAAAGCCCAATAGTAATTAAAAAAAAAAGGAGAGAAAATTTCTTCAGGTTCTTCCAAGCCTTAATCCAATCAATAGTTAAGTGAAAAGGAAGGGAAGAAACAAAAACGTTTTAAAAAGAACAAAAAAAGAAAAAGAGAGAAAAAAATTCTTCAGGTTCTTCACCACCTTAATCCAATTAAAAGGTCTCAAAAATAAAAAAATAAAAACATAAAAATAAACCAAAAGTATGGATGGAAAAAGCAAAAAATCCCAGAGGAGAAGGGGGGAAAAAAAGAATTTTTTTTTGAGGCTTTCCCTTTAAAATAAAAAGAAAAAATGGAAATATTACAAAAATAAAGGTTTTTTTTTTAAAAAAAGAGTACAGTAAAGCTGGTAAGGAGGGGTAGCACAACTTAAAAAAAATAAAAAGAACACACTGCACTTTATTTAATCATCCAAGGCTCTTATTATAACTCTCTTCTCCACAGACTTCAAAACCAAACTTCAATTGTTGATAGAAATCCAGAAGAACACCTGCAATAACACTCTCCCGTGCTCTTCCCTCTATCTTATCACGTTGCAATGTCCTTGAAAAGGAGTCTCTGATCTTTCTTTCTCAGCTTTCTCAGCTTCGTCTAAGATATTTTCAAGCCTCTAGTTGGCAGTGTTACAAAGTTTCTTTACTCTCACTTTCCCCCTCCTTTCCCAGGCAAAACGTAATAGAAATTTAAAAAAAAGTATATATATAAAAAAGAAAAGTAACTAAAGGGAGCCTCTAATCTAAAATGTTGCAAAGTCAAAAAAGAAAAGAAAAAATAGATGTAAATAAGAAAGAAGCCAGTCCAGTTAGCAAATGTTAAATCGCGATAGAAGTCCAGTAATAAGAAAAAATAAAATAAAAAGCCAAGCCTTACTTTGACGTTTCCGTTTAAAAACCGCCGCTTATTCCATTCTGTCAAAACTTTTACAGATTTTTCCTTTTCCTTAGGGTGTCCCTTTAAGTCTTAGAGTAATGATAAAAAAAACAGTTCTCACCAAACCGACACACTTTCTCTTTCCAGTCTCTTCCGATCGGAACTGTCCCAACTTCAGCAGCTTTGATGGCTGCCTCTCTGCCGCCGGCAAGAAGGGCTTCTCCTGGATCAACCAGGGACTTTGTGGTGTCCCTGGGATCGGCAGGATGTGCTCTTCACTTTCACCGTCTCTTCGGGACGGTTTAGGTCCGTTGGGACCGTCCAGAGGCAAAGATATCGGCTGTAATCTCAGACCTCCGAGATTGCATGCAGTATCGTTGCAACGTCAGCTCCGCCCCCTCCCAAAGTCCTCTTTTCTGATGAGAGCAACTTTTGCATCTTATTTGGAAACCAAGGACCCAGAGTCTGGAGGAAGAATGGAGAGGCACACACTGCAAGATGCTTGAAGTCCAGTGTGAAGTTTCCACAGTCTGTGTTGATTTGGGGAGCCATGTCATACAGAAGAGCTGAAGGCCGCTAGTCTTCCATAACACCTCAGCAGTGACACAGGCTGATAGCTTCCATGCCACGCCGCATTGAGGCAGTAGTTGCTGCAAAAGGGGCCCAAACCAAGTACTGAGTACATATGCATGCTTATACTTTGCAGAGGTCCGATATTGTTCTATGTACAATCCTTGTTTTATTGATTACATGTAATATTCTAATCTTCTGAGATTGTGGATTTGGGGTTTTCATGAGCTGTAAGCCATAATCATCACAATTATGACAAATCACGGCTTGAACTATCTTGCTTTGCGTGTAATGAGTCTATCTCATATATCAGTTTCACCTTTTAAGTTGCATTGCTGAAATAAATTAACTTTTGCACGATATTCTAATTTTTCGAGTTTCACCTGTATAGTCTGTTGGAAGAAAACAGTCATTTGTTTTTATTTTCTGAAATATGATATAGGAGTGTTAAATATTTATGACTTGTCCCAAATACTTGAAATAGTTTATTGAACTGAATTTATTATGCATTGAGTTGCTTTTTAACATTTCAAATACATGAATAATAAAATATTTTTTTCTCTGTATTTTTTTCCACAGACAATCTTGGACTCTGAAGAAAAAGTACTGGTAATGTATCATAGAAACTGGGATGAATACAGTAAAGGGGCAGAATATATGGATTGTTTATATAGGTAAATGCATTTTGAACTTATTCTGGAATTTGGAAATGTGATTAATCTTAACTGTTTTAGTGTTTTGGTCCAGTGAGTACGTTTACAGTTTTGACACTTGCTGTGAATATTGTTGAGGTGATTCCCCGTTGGGAGAATGAGCGCATACAGGGAGACGTAGTGAGAGTAATGTCGAATAACACACACACAGCACACAGATACACTGTACAGTAAATGTAGGTTTTTACTTCCAATAAACGTTTAAGCACAGTCCAAGATAAGCAGTCCAAGTCATTCACAGGTAAAGCAGTCAGTGTTCAGTTCAGGGATAATCCAAATATCAAAGTCCAGTATCAAAAAACAGTTCAGTAACAGACTTACATCAATGATCAGTAACAGTCATTAGGAGGAACGGCAACTCTCTCCAACAGAAAGAAACAGAGACTCACTGAGACTAAGACTAAACAACCCAGGTTTCTGGCTCCATCTTATGGCCATTTGCGGAACCACACCCAATTACAGTTTGGCATTTTCTTAAAGATACAGTTTTAAAATGTTTCTCGTGGTTTATATATTTCTAACCCAAATATCTGTTAGGTGACTTACATTCCTAACAAATATGCTTACCAATTTTTCATTGGAAGAGCCTTGTAAAGGTACAAAGTGAGAGTTGTTTGGGACATGGCTAGTCACACAATATCCAAAAGGCAATTTATTGTATTCAGGCAACATATCTCCCACTTAGAAAAATAAACTAGCACTACAAATCTGTGCTGGAAGTTTTTTTCTTTCCCCACATCTGGTGCCTGTGTTGGAAGGTGGAAAATGGAACAAGAATTTTACATACACATATGCACAGTTCTCAAAAATTACAGTGATGTTTTTTACAGTGCTTTTAGAAGAATAATTGGTGCTTATTTCTAATATATACCATGACCTTAGCTCAGTATTTCTCAATCTTGGCAACTTTTAAGATGTGTGGACTTCAGCTCTAGAATTCTGGGACTTGAAGTCCACACATCTTAAAGTTGATGAGGTTGAGAAGCACTGCCTTGACTTAACAAACTATACTTTTCAATAGAACAGGATACATGTAACTCCACAAACTATCTGTTTTATCAATATTTTTGTCTCTTTTCCTCCCTCCCTTATTCACAGAATTATTTCTTATCACAAGTTTGATATGCTCACTCCAGTCAACAGCTTCACTTTTCATTTCTCAGGCTTGTTTTTACCCTACAGAGGAAATCAGAGGGAAAAATAGCGCTTTTCTAAACTGTTTGGAATTCCAGCATCTTTGTCAAGCCATCATGTCATAGTTACCTTTTGCATCCTTATCAAACTGATATCTGCTCAGTCTTTTCTAAATGCTGCAGTCTTTTCTAATGGCTAGTCCAATCCACATATCTTTCTTTCAGATCCTGCTGGATCCTCAGCTTCAGATTTCTCCTCCTCCTATGCCTGGATTCATACAGCCCACATGCAACACTAGCAATGTCTGATAACCACCAATAGTGTCTTCCACTGCCTAACACTTCTGCCGTTTTATTTATTTTCATCAACATGTGGATGTGTCTGCTCTTGGGTGTCTTAAATAGGCAGGAAACTTCTAGGTCACTACATGACAGTCTCTACACAAAAGTTTGCCTTAAAACATTTTTAAACTTGAGAAAATTTTACATCATCACATGTCCATCAGGGCAGTTCCCCTGCCACAGAGTGTTCAGTATGGAGGTCAGTTTATCTGTGGGAAACCTTAATTGGGAATAGGGCCACAGTGATTGGACTGAAAGCCCAAGGTTGTCAGATATTGTAAGTTTGTATAGTGCTATTTTGCTCTCTCTGCCAACTGATTTCTCCAGTAACTTGGCCAAAACGGAGCACCAGCCAAGTTTGTGATGTGTTAGAAATTCATTATTGTACATGCATATGTATTCCTTGGGTCTAAAAATATATTTTAAAAATGCTGTGCGTTTCCTGACTTTTTTTCTTCCATAGAACAGTTTTAGAAAATATCTGATAAGAAATGTGTTGGGTTTTTTCACAGATACCTCAATACACAGTTTATTAAAAAGAACAAATTGACTGAAGCTGATCTTCAATATGGTTATGGAGGTTTGGATATGAGTGAGACATTGATGGAGATTGGAGAGGTAAATAGTATGGAAAAGAACTTTAGAGAGTTAACTATAAAGGACATATTTTGTGACTGTCTAATTGTCCATTAAGATGATTTCTGTCTTTTCAACATCATGTCTATTTTGTTGAATCAATAAAGCAAAGCGTTTATTATTTTCCTGAATGTTCAACAGGAAACACTTGCAGCTATTATTGGCTTTTAACTAGCTTTCGATTTACCTATTCAGAGGAATTGAAATTGCTGTAGCTAGATAGGAGGGGTGAACCTTAAAGGAGCAAATATGGGCTGCAAGGTTCTGATGACAGAAATGCCAAATATAATTAATGGTTGGAATGTATTCAATGCTTATTTGTTTAAGGTAGCCTCTTTAATTGGAAGTAGATAAGAATAGAGCTAGTGGAGACCTTTTCAGAACATGGTGTAGGGAAAGTTAATACTTTAGCCTAGAGCATTGTTTGTCAACCGTAGCAACTTAAAAGATGTGTGGACTTCAACTTCAGTGCTGGCTTAGGAATTCTGGGAGTTGAAGTCCACACATCTTAGTGGCCAAGGTTGAGAAACACTACTTTAGAGGTACTGTAGGTCCATGAAGGTGAACCTATGGCACGTGTGCCAGAAGTGGCACGCAGAGCCATCTTTGCCGGCATGCGAGCTCAGTTCCACTGTGCATGCATGTGCGCATCCTGCCAGCCAGCTGATTTTCAGGTATCTGCCGTGTATGCGCAGGGGGCATGCAGGAGACGTGTGTGCATGCGCAGGGGAGCAGGGGGAGCATGGGGGGGGGTTTGCACGTGCATCCACAGGGGGGGGGGGGGTGGGGGGGGGGGGTTGCGTGCAGGGGGTGGGGGTCACGGGGGGTTGTGTGTGCATGTGCGGGGGGCGGGGGTCACATGGGTCGTGCGTGCATTGCATTATGGGTGCAGGCATGTGCATGCATGCACGCACTTTCAGCACGCAACAACAAAAAGGTTAGCCATCACTGCTGTAGGTGTACTTAAGCCTATCTTATTTTTTTGCTTATTTTCGTCAAGAAAACAGTAAGGTCTGCTTACCTATCTATATCACATTTCTACCAGCAAACTGTGAATGGTTATTTGTTCTTGGGTTTTTTTCCTATGAAATAAAAGTCAAGTGGAATTAGTTGAAGATAGATTCAGGAATAATTCATGAATAAAAAGTAATAGATAGGATTCCATTACAATCAATGAAATATAAGTCAAGACTAAGTTACACTGATTTCCGAGGGGCCCAAATCAGCCAAAGATGATGTACTTGTCAATATGTGTTTATGGTGAGAGGTGTGTCAGAGATATGTACAACACATAGACTGTAAGGGATCTAAACCTGGCCTTCAAAAATGGAGAAGGGATGATCAAATGGTTAAGGAGAGATTCACTGAAAAGATTATCAATCTTGAGAAAGAGTGAGAAAAAACCTCAAAAATTACTCTCCCTTGATTTTGTTTGGTATAAGATGGAACAGAGAGGACTCTAATAGGCTTTCAAGATTTGGTTATTCTGCTACAATAAAAACATTCCTAGAGTCCCTGCCATGCCTGTTTATTGATCTTGCATACCTCAAAGGGCTGATACACAGACAGTTATGAGAAATAGCAGTTCCCCAAATAAGTAACCTTTAATTGCTCCTGTTTAAGATTTTTGAATAAGTGTTTAATTTTGTTTTTAATTTTGTTGAAAGTAAAACTGAACCAAGGGCTGCTTAATTATTTTTTTCTACAGTGTTAATAGTCCTTTCATTAAACTCTTAAATCATGTATTTTAAACAAAATCTTTACCTCATGCAACCCTAAATTAATTTCCATTTGGGGCACTCCAAAAGTTACATTTTAAGTGCATTTAAAACTTACATGTACACCCCCCCTCCACAAAAGTGTGAATGGGAGCAAAATTCTTTCAAAACTGTGTATAGTACATTTACTTTTATCAAGGAATTGGAACTGCTGGTGATTATATATAATATTTTTGCTCTATAATATATATTTCTATAACTTACTGTTTGGAGTGGTTAATAAAGTACTAGAATTCAGTATTTTCTAAACTGTACTTAATTTGTTTAGGCATTGAATTTTTGTCATGTCTGTTTTTCCAAGGGCAGAAAAATAATTCTTCAGTTCCAACATGCTACTTATTCCTGGATATAAGATGCAATTTGGGATGGCCCTGGAATTGGCATAATTTCTTTTCACAGTAATTTGTTGAAAAAAGAAAAGCTAGTGAGGTAGATAAAAATACAAGGAACCATTCCTCCATCACTTATTTTGAAATGACAGGAAGCCAGTTTTAAATTTGGTAGAAATTCAGCTGCTGGAGATCTCCTTCATAAGAGGGGGAATTGTTACGCTAATTGGCTATTTAGTACCCTTTCAGTTTATTCCTGTTTTGGAGCCTTTAGGACTCAGCATCTTTTTTAAAATAAGAATGAATGAAATGACAGTTCTGTTATTGACTTGTTTTCTATTGTACCATGACAGCTAGCACTTGATATGTGGAAGAGATTAATGATTGAGCCCTTACAGACTGTCCTCATTCGAATGTTGCTCTGCGAAATTAAAAAGTGAGTGCTTTTCTTTTTTAAAAAATGTGTATTTCAAACAATAGCTTGTCCAAATGCATATGCATTTACTGTACTCCTATGACCATTGTCTTAGAAGAAAGTCCTAGGTTGGAATCCAGGATGGGTCATCTAAAAGGGTGAATTGCTTGGAGAAGAGGCAGAGTTTATTTTGAAAGCATAATGTGCAGTACAGCAATTGAAGGTTGCAACAACTTACAGGTTTGAGATGGTTACCTTTATAGAGATACATTTTCTTTGCTCCTCCCAGGGATAGGACTTGCCCTCAAGGAATTATTGGAAACTGCAAGTAGCTGGATGGCGAAAAGGGGGCACTTGGTAGTTAAGGCACCCTGCTGAGCTTGTGGGGTTTTCCACTTATCAACTGGCTTAACATTGCAGCTGGAGGTGGCAATCACACAGAGGAAGGGATCTTTTTTTTACCTGAAAGGAATGTGTACTTGAATGGGCTGTCACCTTTGGGCAGTTTCATCCCCCTTGTGTGCCTTGGTGTTGACCTTGGGTCCAGGTTTGGGGAATCTTTTTTTTCCCCAAAAGTTTTTTATTTTTTAAATTTTATGCAACTTTCCACATGAGCAACATGTTTCCAGGTTATAACACTTGTACATAGTCATACTTTAATTTCCATTAATCTTATATAATATTAACTTATATCATTATCCATTTTACTCATCTTTAAATAAGTTTACATTTCATATTTCAATTCATTAATTC